CATTACAAAAAATATAACCATTGCAAATTGTGGGGCCCACTAGAGCACTATTCATCTTCAAAAATGCTCAAATCTTGGGCATTTTCAGAAATGCTCATGAGCATTTTTTGGCTTTTTCTCATTTGCTCACCATTGTAATGCATGAGCAAATTTTATGCCCACCCAAAATGCTCGTGAGCAAATTTTTAGCTCACCATTGATAGTGCTCTAAGGAGAAGAGAACATATCTTTCGTAGAGAAAATTGTTTTGTCCGTGAAAGTTGAGAGATGACATCATTGTTTCAATAATGCAGCTTCTCTAATTTCTATCTTAGTATAACAAGAGCAAAAATGAAAATTTAAATTTTATGCACAACTCATGAGCTCACATACATGTAAGACAATTACTCCGCTCATTTACATGTTGATTGTTTAATTATTCAAATATCTAATTTTCATAAATGCATAATTAATGTATATAGTTTGCAATATGTTAGTGAAATTAGAATATTTGGTTTAAAGAGGTTTGAAAGTAAGAACTCTTATGTGGGTTATTCCACTAACAATCAATGATATTTTCGTCCAAAAAATGCATGATGTGCAATAAGCCAATAAAATAAGGCATTTTTGTGGCAAATTAGCATGGGAAGAGGGAAATATATAATGCATACTACTTTTGTATTTTATTTTTTTTTAATTTTATTTTGGATAGCATGTTGGCTTATTATTGCATATTCGGTAATAAACTAATAATTAACGTTCTAGCTAGACTTCTAGTACACCCGACGACATGTGCAATTGTGCATTTGTGCATTTGTGCTAGGGGCAAATGGGTCCCCCAAAAAAAAATAAAAATATGTACAACTAAAAATGGGCAATGTAGGAATCAACGAAAAAGATGAAACATCACAAAAAAAAAAAAAAAAAAAAAGCTTTTGTCTTCATTAAATAAATAAATAAAAGCTTTGGTCTTCACCACCTTCCGCGGGAAAATGAGCTTTGACTACTAACGATTCAATCGTCCATAGTTTTGTTGTTGGTGACGAAGGTTATTTATACCATTTTTTTGTTTAAAAGGTGATTTTTTATAAAAATAAAGATTTAAAAGGTGGAATCTAATATAATTTCCTTATTATTGTTTTTATAATTTATAAATATTTACATGTCTTAATAAGTAAAGAATACGCAAAAGAAAGCATTGTATAAGAACTCCTTCAACGTACTTTTAAAGATGACACGTCTTTAATCGTAATCAACAACTGAACAACTGAACAACGGATGAATCAAATAATATCCATCTTTGAAAAGGAGAGAATGGCTAATTAAAGACAGTGTGTTTCATTATGAGAAAAGTACAAGTTAAACACTTTAGCAAAGGGTTATTAGGAATAAAAGGCTAGAGTAGTTGTGAAATAGAGCGTAAAACCTATAATGTGCCAATGCTTAACAAAAGAGTAGATTATCGTGATTTGATTGGTACATTACTATTAGCATGAAAGCTTGCCAACTAAAATATTATTTGAATAGAAACGGGTTAACACATGCATTACTCCATGATTATCAATGGAATTGAAAATGAAGCAAGATAGCTAATAATAAATGAGTTTCATGAATAGAAATTGTTTTAACCTAATTCACTTGAATAGAAAGGGGTTAACACAATATGGCTTATAATTAATCTGGCATATTGTGTTCGGCAAAATGTAGCAGTGAAGGTAGCTGTTAACTGTGGTAGTAGCTGTTAGCTGTAGGTAGCTGTGAGTTGTAAACAAGTTGTTAGCTGTGAAGATAGATAATTTAGTTATGACTGTTCGGTAAAGTAGCGGTTGACTAGCTGTTGCATATAAAAATCAATATTTTTTCCTAAAATTGTAGATTAAATTTTCAACAACTACCTCTAACTTCAAAAGCTAATATTTCTAACTTTTGATAAAAATTACTTCCACCACTAAAAGCTACCCCAACCACTGCATTGCCAAACACTCATATTTTTTTGATATAAGGTACCTCCACCACTAAAAGCTACTCAAAAGCTATTGCCGAACACGTCACAATTACTCTCTCCATTCCATTAAGATCAGGCGACATACCTTCATTTTAGACTATGTCTTCAAAATTTTCCATCTTTATTGCATTTTTTTTGGAAATGCAACTTAGTCGACCTAATTTCTTACTATATCATACTCTATCTTTTTGCCCATAAAGATTGTACTCGTACTACACACTAATTAGGCCTTGTTTTGAAGTCTTCTTCTCATTATTTTCACTTATTTTAATAGTTCAAATAACAAAGGCTACCTAGTTTAGTTTAGAAATTAAATTAATTAATTTTTGTTAGATTTAAATAAGTTTAATAAATGAAAATCCAATGAATAGGATATATCCTTACATCAAAGAACAGATTGAGTCATATTATTATCACAAATTGGCCTGGCAGATTGTTATGTTTCTCAATTAACTTAGGGTGATTCAACAGTAGTTTTTTTATTAGCTTTTAGTGGTTTGACCAATTCAGGCTACTGCTTAAAAAAAAAAAAAAAAATAAATAAAATAAATAAATAAAAAAGTGTTCGGTAATGTAGTGGTTGAAGTAATGTTTAGTGGTGGAGGTAGCTTTATTAAAAGTTAGAAATATTAGCCTTTTGATGATAAGAGGCAGCTATTGAAAATTTAATCTATGGTTTTAAAAAACAAATATTAATTGAATTTTATATGTAACAGTCAGTCAATCGCTACTTTACCGAACACTCATACTTTGATTATTTATCTTCACAACTAACAGCTAACAACTAACTCCACAACTATATTTTGTCGAACATGCCTTTGATTTAGAGAATAAATCTTAAACCATACCTTAAAGAATGGAATAGTTTAATTTTTAGTAATTTCAAAATCATTCAAAATTAGGAATTTAGGATCTTCTATACTATCCCTTGTTAGGATTAATTCATAACATATACTTCAATCTTCATATCAAATTAATCGGTAAGTCTTAATTGTGGAAGTGTACTTGATTTCATAACAATTAATCGAGTCCCTTCTTAATTATGCGCCTTTTAGTAAATACACACTCTAGGGTTTTCTCTCTATTGATGGGATATAAGTGAGAGTCTATTGTATGTACTACTAGGGACCATAACCCTAGATGTCTATTTATATAGACCCCCTTCCCTAATCCGCCTATCATGCATTAGAAAAGGTCCAACGATCTCTACACATAAAACTAAACATATACTTTATAAAAGACGTAACAAGCCCAACAACAATAATTACTTAAATGGATCACTTTATTTTTGGGTTAAACTATATGATAGCGTATAAATACAATCATAACCGTATATTCTACATACATTATTGTATTTAGGTCCATAAATTTCTTACATCCCTTTTCTGCCACATTGTCTTTGTTTATCATTTAATCCTAACGAATTAGGTTTGTGTTGGTTAGACTTTTTTTTTGTGCTCTTATCCACATAGGGGCGTAATAATAAATTGTGTCAACCTTTTTGTTTGGACTATTACTTCAAATAGTAACACTATCTCCTTTGACCTTATGGCTTATCCATGGCATACGACCATATGAGGTCTTTCATCGGATTTTTTTTTCTTCTTATACCTCAATTATATATTTCAATATTCACCTTCTTGTTGACTTATTTGCCGACATTGAAATATATTTCACATTTTGTCCCTAACTCAAAAAAATTAAGCAAAAAAAAAAAACCCTACATCGAGCTCTTGAAGGGTTTTTTTTTTTTTCAACTATATTTTCCCCAAAAGCTAGAATATGCTTAATTAGGGTGACAAACCATTAGAGAAGTGAACTGGCATCTCCGGCCGGTGATTCATGTCATAAAAAAACCAATTAGTTGAAAGGTTATATAAAAGCTTTGAGCATATACTCTAATTTTTCAATTCTATTTAAGATAAAGACCATTGGAGAATAATTATTACATTCAAAATAATCCATTTTAATTAGATGTAGAAAATCATACTCCCCTTGTCATTTCTAAACTGTTGTTCAGTTATTCCTCTTCTCTGTCAAGTCTTTCTCTCTATTCTTTTATACGTAGTATTCTATTTTAATTCAAGTTGCCTTGTAAACTAAATTTCTTATTGTAATCTGTCCCTTTCCTCTCAAAAATAACAATTATATAACCGCAAAAACTCCGTCATGATACTATTTTCATTTTGGGATATACATCAAACTTAAAAATAATTTGCCCTAAAAAAAAAAAAAAAAAAAAAAAAGGTGAAGCAATTCACTTGATTGAAAACAATAAATAAAAGGCAATTCATATGAAACTATGAAGTGGACAAATTGTTCAATTATATGTATTTTTTTCATTTTTTTAAAAGGTGTAGGAATTGGACGAATTTGATTCCATACGTCTTTACTACGACTTAAATAGATTACCAATTAAGTCAACTCTCTACATTTGCATGACCTAAACTAGCTGATTAAAATTAAAATGAATAATAATTGACATAAAAAAATCCTAATATTACTCATCTTAATTTATTTCTAATGATTATTAGAATATCTCATCTTTGAAATGATCTTCAATTAGTCTGAAAGGTACAAAGCAATGTTCAAAACAATAATACGTACTCCGTATATTATATTGCTTTAAGAAGATGCTTATATTGATTTTTTTTATTAAATAAAAGGCGTAGTACATATAAACTCCGTAAATGTTAAGCTAATGCAAGAGAAATTTACTTTGCCACTACACTACTAATGTCAAATATTCGAAGTACAACCCGTCGTAGGTAAGTTATTGTAATAATAATTGAAAAAACCCGACATAAAAAAATTATGTAAAATGCTAATTTTTGCACAATATGAAACCATCATCAATAAACCTAATTAGTTATTACACCTAAATATAACTTAATTTCAAAAGTTATGAAATACAAAATTAATATCCATATTTTCTGTTTCAACATTAAAAATTGGCCTATAGAAATAAATTGAATGAAAAACACACCTGGTGACAAACACAAACACAAAATTATCATGCTACTGTAAGTAATACGGAGTAATATATAGTGTACAAAATACAAAATTGGTAAAAGGAAGATTTCTTTCCATTTTCCTTAAATAAAAATTCCATCAACATCAACATCTCAACGTGCTTAATCTATTTAACAACTTCATTTTTCTTTTCATGGGGTAAAGATTTTTTTTCCAACAACAAAAAAAAATTAAAATTAAAATTTACCCAAAAGAGTAAATAATCCAAACAAAAAAAAAAAAAAAAATCTGAAAAATGTAATTTTACGTCTCAGATTCAGATTCCCTCCACTACCCTTTTTTTCATTCAATTTTTTTAAAAAAAAAAAAAAATGGACCCCACATTCACAATCACCTGTTTTCGACGGCGGTGGCGTCACCGGAGTACACCGCTGCGGCGACGGAAGCGAGCTTCTGTAGATTAAGCTTAACAACAGTATCAGCAAAAAGGCGCGTATCTTCTTCAGTATTACCTTCAGGAACATCAACTAAGTAACTCTCCAAAACAATAGTGACGTCATCCTCGCCGGAATCTGGGTTGTTAACAGCATGAAGTGACGTAACAGAGCGGTAGTTACGGAGGCGGTGTTCACCACCGATAATAGTAAAGCCAGTAACAAAGCGATGATCATCAAGGATATCGAGGCGTTCGGTGCTGGTAGCAGCAGGGAGGCCAGAAATGACGTTAACGTCGCGCGTGGATCCAACGGAGAGAGTGAAGTTGTCGCGAACAGAGCAGCTTTTGATGAAGTGTTTGTAGGTTTGGGGTTTGTCGAAGCGGCGGACGATGGACCAGACGACGGCGCGTGGGGCGTGGATTTTTTGAGCGAGTAGAGAGGAGCATTGGCGGGATTTGTTGAGGCGGTAGGTGTGGAATTCGGTGATGGAGGGGATGAGGGAGGTGAATTCGTGGTGGGATAAGCCGGGAGGAGGAGAGAGATTGTGGGTGGTCGTGTCGGGGTGGTCGTGGGAGGATGATTGTTGAGGAGGATCTTCCATTGAAGAGGTTTCCGCCATTTGTTGGAATTTGCGGAGGAGAGAGAGAGAGAGAGAGGAAGGAGGTGAGAGAGAGTGGGTGTGTCGTGTGTGGGGGGTAGTGGGGGCTGATAAGGATTTGTTGGCTTTATTTTTGGAGGGTAGGGGTGAAAGTTCGGTTTTCGGTTTGGTTTTTTTGCCCAAACTGAAACCAAACCATCAAATTTCGGTTTCTTGATTTTGCAAACCACACCGCACCACTTTAGCTTTGAAACCGAACCAAACCAAACTACCTAAATTTCGGTTTTCCTAAAAAAAACCAAACCGCACCGAATTTTCCTCTCAAGCATCCTAAATATCACATTTTGCAAAAAAATCGAACCAAACCACACCAATTAAAATCGAACCAAACCAAACCATACAAACATCCCACCTAAAACCCACCTACCACCCACCCTAACCTACCAAAAACCACCGAAACTACCACCACTAACCACCCACAACAATGCCCACTAACCACCACTAACCACCCATAGAAACTATCACCACTACCACCCACAACAACCACCAAAAACCACCTTATCACCACCCCTAACCCAGATCCGCACCCACCACAACCCACAACCCACCTTATTTCACCACCCTTCATCCTTTCCACCCAAACACTAACCCTAGATCGACCCACAACTACCTATCACCACCGCAATTCAATCTACACGGCTACGCCACCATAAAAATAAAGTAGGAAAAAAAATTCAAATCAAATTAAAATTAAGAAAAAGAGGACATACCTCACATTCCACCGAAAAACCTCGAATTTGGGTTTTAAAGGTCAAGTTCGACCATGAAAACACTAGATCTAGTGTTTTCATGGATGAATTTGACATGAAAAACCTTAGCTACTCAGTTGATGGCTTAATAACGTTGTAAATAAACTTGTTCGCTGTGGGCTGGTGGGGAAAAGAGGAGAACAGAGTGATGGAGAAGAGATCAAAGAGGAGAAAGAAAGGACGGAGTTGAGAAGAGGAAAGGAGAGAGAGGAAGAACTAAGATTCTGAGAAGAGAAGAGAGAAAGGGCGGAGAGGTGAGATCAGGAGAAGAAGAGGAAAGGAGAGGTGAGAGACTGAGAGTCAGATGAGGAAGTGAGGGATTAGGGTTTTTTTTTTTCCTTTATATACTTAGGGTAAAAGTGTTGGGCTAGGGGGCTTTTGGGCCTGAAATTTCGGTTCTGTTCGGTTTTGTTCGATTTTTCGGTTTTTCAATTTCTAAAACCGAAACCAAACCGAAAACCGAAATATTTTTTTTTCAAAACCAAACCGAATCACTTTCGAAAAAAAACCGAACCATATTTCTTATTCGGTTCGGTTTGGTTCGGTTTTAACCCAAATTTGTTTCACCCCTACTGGGGGGTGTTTATAATGTTTCAGTTTTCATTTGGGTTATTTTGGAAACTTTCTTCTTTTTTTTTGTACTGCGCTTTTTGTTTTTTTTCGTTGGATAATTTGTTTATTTGGTTCCAATGAATGAACCCGTTGGGTTGTTAGGTTATTAGGGATGGCAGCGGATCTGGATCCGTGGATATAGATCTGTTTTTATGTGTATGGATTTTTTAAATTTAGTCTTGATGGATTCACGTTGGATTTAGAATTTTTTTTTTGGAGAAAAACGGATATGAATAACCCGCGGCTATTTATAATTTTTATGTTCAGACTTGTTTACTCGTTTTTTTTTCATTTTTTTTTAAACAAATATGAGAAAATTTTACCTAAGGACATCAAATCACATCCTATTACAAGAAAGAGGTGAAAGTGATGCAACTAGTACATACTTTCTCCGTTTACGCGGACAAGTGCTATTCATTTTCCATTTACTCCGCAATTCTTATCAAACATTTCACAGACAAATAAATTACACAAATAAGTGAAGGCCAAGGGACTATTAGCATCAAAAATTCACATTTTAGTATTAAATTAGTCAAGAAACAAAGCCGGCCATGAAAAGGGTAAGGTTCACTCATATTTTTGTAAAGTTCTCTAATTTTTACCTCTAAAATAGAACTTAAAATTGTTTAATTCTAGCTAATTAAAACCAATTATTTTATTAAAATGTATGGATAACCAAAGAAGCTAATTAGTGATCGAACTTAAAATAGCTAGGGACTTTTTTGTGAGTGGACACCACACTACACACCAATTAGCCTCTAAACCTCGGCGTCATTACGTCATATTATTAGGATAAAGGGGTGTGATCTGGATTAGGCCTTTGGGATATGTACTCTTTTACTTGTGTGTATTATTTGTATTAATATTACTAAAAAGAACATCAAAATAAATGTTAAAGGTATTAATTACTCTATTATGGAGTAATACTACCTCCGTTAACTATTATGTGCAACAAAGGAGTATTATTTGTAAGATATAAATATTCCTTTGTTGCACGTAATAATTAACGGAGGTAGTATATATCCTAAATTATAAGTGTACATCTCAAATTCTCAATATAAACGTAATAAGATTTATTGCAATGACGATTGTCTTCCCAATCAACATATTCAAGTATGACAATGAGTCAATGACAGTATCAAGGTCGAATAATCATTTTGAATCCCATGAGCAACAATTTTAGGATAATGTACGACTTGCAATCTCGTACATACATGCTCACATGAGTTTATTACACCCCAAACTGGGTCATAGCTTACTTAGACAACGGATGAGAAGAAAAGAGGTTAAGTTGTTTTCAAATTCTAATTACAACTTTATCCTTGCACCTATTTTTGTACAATAACTCAAAATAATACTCTTAATTATTAGTGGCGGCATTAAATAAAAATTAAGAAAGAGGGTCACTTTCCAAAATAGGAAAGGAAGAAAAATAATTGAAAGAAGAGTGTAATGAAAGAATTGGGAAACATCTTCTTGTATTTTCCTTTTCTTTGGATTTAATCCTCTCATAAATCAAAAAAAAAAAAAAAAAAAAAAAAGAATTGGGAAACATAATTGTATGTACAAAATAGTCATGGGTAGTACATTAATATAAGCTGTAAATGAGCTGAATATTGAATCAAAGAATAAAATACCTGCACATTTTTTGCCTTTTATGTTAATTGCTTTGTGTGCTGAAACGCATCACTCAGATTCACACTCTCTTATATAGTCTTATACTTCTTCAATTGTTATTATGGAGTATTATTATTTATTGAGAAATTCTCTTTGATAAACTCGAATTTTCTCCGTGATAAACGTTAAAAAAAACTTATTATTAATGGTAAACCCTAATTATCTATAATAGTCAACTTATTATCAATGGTAAACCCTAATTATCTATAATAGTCAAATGGTGACATTAATAATGTTTATATCCAATTATAAGCCTAACCCTAGTCAACAAAAGCCTAACCATGGTTAATTATTTATTTTTTAACAGTAAAATTATACTTCCTCCGTATTTTTTTTATTGCATCATGGGGTTTTGGGGGCAAAATTTGGTATTGGAAAAAAGTAAGAGAGAGAAACGTAAAAATACAAAATTGTCCATGTAATGTAAGATAAAATAAAAAGTAAGTGCGAAAAAGTAAGGACATGTTGGATATTTGCAGTGCGAACATAGATATTTTTATCCTAAAATAGAATTGATGCAATATTTTGTAAACTTTCCTAAAAGGCAAGTGATGCGATATTAAAAGAACGGAGGAAGTATTAAAAAAAAAAAAAAACAATCCCCTCCCCCCACGCACCCAAACACCACCTGACCCCTCCCTAGCCGGCGGCGCCAAGCTCTACATCTCCACAGGCGATCCCCTACCCCTCCCACCCTTCCGGCGACCACCAACCCTCCCCGACTTCCCACCGTCTCATCTCCGGCGCCGCTCCATTCATACTTCTTACCGTCTTCCTTTCTTCCCTCACCCCAACACTCACAATCAAAAACTCACAAAAACAATCCAATCAAACCAATTCACAAAACTTCAAACCCTTAATAAATTTTCCGCCATTATCAAGCTGTAAAAATGAAAAAAAAAAAAAAAAAAGCAAAAAAGAAAGCCAATAAGAATCTGAATCTTGTTATATATCGAGAAATGCGAGGCCCTAATAATTACTTCAGTGGTCGAATTGCGCGAGTTGTTCCTCTTGGAAGTTAGGATCTTTCGACATCACAGTCGCCGACGCAATTCCTTAGGGTTTGCGTGGTTTAAGATTTTCAGGTGAGGATTTTGGAGTTGAGGGTTGCGTTTTGGGGGAAGGAGAGGGGATCGGATCGATACAGGGAAAGGGGAGGGGGGTGGTGAGGCTTGGGGTATCGGGATAGATCTCGCCGGCGGGGGGAAGAGTCGGCGACCAACAGGGGAGCGTGGGGTAAAGGGGATGGGAAAGGGAGGCTGCCGGCAGTAGCTAGTGGCAGGGGAGTTGGGTTTTTTTTTTTTTAAAGGCTAACCATGGTTAAGGAATCAGTTAATTATATCATTAATATTACCAATAAATTATTAAAGATAATTAAGGTTTACCATTGGTCATAAGTTTTTTTTTTTACGTTTATTACTAAGAAAATTAAAGAGTTCGAGTTTACCGAAGAGAATTTCCCTTGTTTATTTGATAGGAGACAGATATTATATATTATCTATATCTTTGTATTCTATATAATTTGGTTAACAACAATAATACACTTGTCTCTAGTATAATTATTATTCGACAGACTTTGGTTCAAAGTTTATTCAGATTTCTTATTGGACCCTATTTTATTGCTTCTTTTCTTAGAGGTGGAGGGTTTTTTTAAATTTAGTGTGAGGTGAAGTATTTTAGGACGTACTCCCTCCAATATATTTCTACTGCCAATATGAAATTTTAATAAAATAGTGTTATAAATAGTATAAAAGTCAAATTGAAACGCATATTAAGTGAAGTATGTTTGAATATACTCCCTTTAATATATGTTCTCTACTTTTGTCGATACATCTGCTAATATGAAATTTTGATAAAATATTGTAAATAAATAATAATATAAAGTCAAATTCTAAAAAATAATTTCTATTTGAATAATGATTGTATCACAATTATTATTTAATTTGAACTAATTAGAATTCCAAGAATGTTGTTGGCTAATCTGCTAATCCTACAATCCTACAAGAAGGATAACAAACATAAACTGCGGCAAAGGCCACTCAACGTTCAGCCCATTAGCTCCAAATTGGCCTTCTTAGTCCTTATTGTCCAAATGGGCCTTCGGAGTCCTTATTGTCCAAATTGGTCTATTTTATGGAGATTTAAGTGGAGCATTATTACACTCATTTGTAGAGGCCTTCCAACTTTTCAAACAAAAATAAGTCAAGTACTATGGAACTATTAAATATGGGTCTAGGCTACACTCATCTACAAGAGATAGAGAGTCTACTTCACAAATTTAAAAAGGTTACATCCTAAAATCATATGAAAGTAGAAGAATTAGCTTCTTAACCTTATAAATTATTTAACTTTCTCATAGTTTATTAATGTGAGACACTTACGTGTGTTGTTTGGGAAGATTACACCTCAACAAGAATTAATCCTACACAAACTTATTAGGTGCTACCACATACTTAAAACTACACAACACGTAAAATTATTAGTCACTACTAGGGGTGGTTAATGGACAGGGTTGTCCATTGATAATAAGGTCGGGCCAAAATTTAAAAGGTCTTGACCCTTTATTATTTTAGTGGACGGGATTACTAAAGGGCTTTAAAATATAGGGTCAATAATGAGCTTTTATTGACAACCCATTAATATCAAAGAAAAATTAAATGGCCAAAAAGAAAAATCCCAAATTTAAAAAATAAATAAATTAGAAGATTAGAATGACCAAAGAAAAAACCAGAACCTCCAAGTTCTCTCCCTTTTTTCGATCTTCTGAAGAAATAAACCCTAAGTTATTCAATTGATTTACAAATTATTGCGATTTCGAGCTTTCAAGCTTCACAATTTAGGCGACCTTCTTTGTTTTTCCTTTGAGGTTAGTTAATTTCGATTATTTTGCTATATGATTCGAAATTTTAGGTTAATACTATAATTGCTAAATCGAAAATTAACATATGTTAAATAATCAAACAGGATAATCGACATAATTATTAATTTGTTATGTATGAAGAATTGTGCGTGCATAAAAGAATCAGATTAGGAATTTGAATTCTATCAATTGTGTGTACATAATTGATAATCGACATAAACAGGATAATCGACATAATTGAAGAATTTGCTAATCTGAATTTTTAGTTCTGATTAGGAATTTGCATCATGCAATTACATTGTTTGATCGGTGATGTTTTGTTGTGGGTTTGTATTGCTGTAGTCTGAGTGCTGTTCTGCTTAACCAATTATAATAAAAATGATAAGAATTTCCAATTGTATAAACCAACAAAATTGAAGGAAAAAAAAAAAAAAATTGAAATGAAAAATGAATACGAACAAAGAAGAAAAGAATTAGACTTACATAGCATGCAAATAATGTTAAAATGAAGCTAACAATATAATGTTAAATTGAAGCTAACACCTTTTCTTGAAGATATTCTGCTTAACCAATTATAATTGCTATTCTGAATTTTTAGTTGACATGAGTTTTTGCAATTATTAATTAAATCCCATTAATTGTTGGTAATCTTTCTAAGCTTGCAATTGTGCAGTATGTTCCTTAATAAGGATGGTGATACTACTACTACTACTTCTACGGCACATGATGATGGATATAATGAATACATCACTCCGCAACGAAAGAGAAAGAAGAGGTCTAAAGTTTGGAGAGAGCTTATTGAAGGGAAGAATGTTCAAGGTGAGAGAATTGCTACATGTGTACATTGTAATTCTATTTTATCTGCACATCATGATAGTGGTACATATCATTTGAAGCTTCATTTAGAGAGGTGTGCAAAAAGGTCTCTAGGACTTACATTTGAGGAAGATAGTGATGAAGAAAAATTTTGTCTTTGACATGAATGAACTTCAAAAAGAGACTTTTAATTCATTGTTGAGGGAGGTCATTCATTCACTATGGTTGAAGACAAGGATTTAGGAGAATAATGAAAAGAGCTACCCCTAAGTTTATACCATGTGGCCGTGCAACCACAAAGAGAGATTTATTGAAGGCTTATGTATTGGAGAGGGATAAATTAATAGATTTGTTGTCTAATGTTTCGGGTAGAATTTGTTTAATAACCGATAATTGGAAATCAAATCATACTAGATAACATTTTATTTGTGTCACTTCTCACTTTGTTATGATTCTTGGAAACTCCGTAAAAAAATTCTTAGGTTTAGGGCCTTGGCTCCTCCATATGATGGGGTAAGTATTGCTAATGAGATTTGTATGTTTCTTTGCCAATGGAAATTAGATGATAGGATACTCTCTATCACTGTTGATAATGCAACTTATAATGATGCAATGTTATCTTTAGATCTCAATTCACAATTAAATATTTTGGAGTTTTGGCATCAAAGTTTTGTGAGGTATCCTGTGGTATCTAAGATGGCACGGGATTTGTTGACTATTCCTGTGAGTACTGTAGCTTCGGAGTCAGCTTTTAGTATTGGAGGAAAGACTGTTTCGGCATCGCGAAGTTCATTAAAGTAAAAAACAATTCAAGCTTTAGTATGTATGCAAGATTGGCATCGTGAAAGCAATTAATCAAGTAGAGGTTGATAGTGAACTTGAAGACGAAATCATTGAAGAAGAAGAGGATGATGATGCAGACCCTTTCTAATTTTTGAAGTTGTTGATTATGTGTTTAGTTTTAATATGCTGATGGTTTGTAGTTTCCCATGTCTAATTCTGCTCTTCAGAATCTGCAATATTTTGTGCTCATGTGTACCTGCTCAGTTAAGAATTGAGGTGGTTCATCATTTGTTTTGTGACTTTGTTTTAAAGCTCTGACAGTGCTTAATGCTAACTGTTTTCTATAAGATGAGCTTTACTTCACTTTGGTTTCTTAATTCTGTTTAAATTATACATGCTCATTTTTTGTATCCCATTTGACAGGAGAATTATATCATACCCTGATCAAAAAAGTTGAGAGGCTGAAGTATCATGGCAGATTTTGGGTTGGACAAAACTTCATTTGTGAATCTAATCTTTGAAGACTGAAATGGATTTTTTTTTTTTTTTTTTTTTCTTAAATGGAGTATGCAGACTAGACTTTGTGGATTTCAGAATGTTTATTTACTTACAATGCATTGGTTTTTGCTTCTGAAAATGTGATCTGAACTTTGTGGATTTCAAAATGTAATCAGAAATATAAGTTACTCTGTTTGCTTTCATGAAAGCTGCTAAGTTTGGCCGCCATTGGTTACCTTTCTTTAGGGTAAATAATGTGGTGGAAAGGTGTCCTGAAACTTACTTCAATTCTATTGGATGCATTGCCATTTTTGTTACAGGAAATAAGGCCCGTTAATGGCCCGTTTCACTTTTATCTCGACCTTGATTCAACCCTGACCCGCATTGATCTTGACCCGACCCTGACCCACTAAACATTCATCATGACTCGCAACCGATCCGCCACGTTAATGACCCGCACCAACCCGAACTGACCCGCCCAATAACCACCCCGAGTCACTACTAAACAAGTTAATACTCTTTGGAGACATAGTCACAACATGAATATCTAGATTAATACAAGTATGTTTGACATAGCACATGGGAGAAAAAAATAATTTAATGAAACCAAATCATGAGCAGCCCAATAATCTCAAATGTAACAAACTAGAAGAATCCAATTTCTTATGTTTAGGAGAAGATTTTTCACCCTTACTCTTCTTATGCTCTTTTCCCTCTGTAACCTGTGTAAAAAACGTTGATTTAATAACATATCGTTTAATTTTGTCAATAAAAATTAAGATCGTGTTTAGCAAATTACTCGTTTTTAGTTTAATCACTACGAAATTACTGAAATTAGACGTAGATAATACCGGGGGTTTGTCCATGCAAGTTCGGGATATTGGTTGCTTATTGTTGCTACGACGAGGCAGCCTAAATCTTGAAAATGAGTTGGAAAATCCTTTTCTTGAAATCCGAGGAGAAGTTTCATCTTGAGAGTTTTTTGATGGAGACAAAGCAGCTTCAGATTCAATGAGTGAGCATACCTATACATCATAATTGCATAGAATATGGATGTGAGCATATAGTCCCATGTGTATACGAGTTTGTGAGGCCGCAACAATTACCATGTTATAATTGATAGACTCCACAAGAAAAATTAGCAAGTACAAGAATATGTTAATAATGTTTACAATGAACCTAAAATACGGAGTAAAATTTATTTATATAGTTTGTTTAATGATTGGACATGTGGCTATAATTAAATGAGAGGCCGTTAAGGATACAAAATGTAAAATACTAAATACAGCCATCAAAATTGATCAAACCGCCATCATTTTAAGTAAAGAGACTTTCTTGCCCTTACTAATTTTTTTTTTTCCCATTTTTTTCCTCTTACGTTAGTCCATCAACCACAACCAAGTCAACCACCACCAATCACGACACCGGTGCAATCCACGCCATCACGTCTACCACCACAACCCACAACCACCGTGTTTACCACCACCTTCTACACCAGACAGCCACAATGACGACAAAAGTCGACGAGAAATGGATGGTGATTGAGGTGGCTCATCGAAATACGAACCCAAAACGCCACCGTCGGGTAAGGTACGTCACTTTTCCGCTGGTTTAAATTCGAATTATTGGCAAAAAAAACCGCCTGACGACGATCAATCAGAGCCAAAAACTGGTTAACCGTTACAGTAACCGGTTATGGGCTCCGATTACCGTGGACGATAACCAATTTTGGGCTCCAGTTATCGTGGACGGTAACCGATTTTGGCCTCCGATTACCGTGCACAGCTCCAGCTGTGCACGGTAACCAATTTTGACCTCTGTTTGCTGTGTACGGTAACTGGTGACCGACGGTCAAAACCGGTTACTGTGGAGCTCCCCCTTACTCTGCGTCGCCGCCGCTGCCTTGGTTCGCGCCACCGCTGCCTTCCGTCGTCGGTATCCTCTCCAGTGTGTTTGGGGTTTTTGAAGAGAGAGAAAAAGGTTGGTGGTTGGGGTGGTGTTTAAGGAGAGAAAAAGATGTTTTAGCGAATGCTAGTCTTCTTATCAAATTAACATCCAATTTTCAAGACTTTTATGCTAAGAAAGTGATTTTAGCACTACATAATTTGAGTTAACACTCATTGTGAGAGCACAGTTCTATGTGTTGAATTCACTAAAAGTAACCAAATTAATTTTCCTTACACTAGTACGATAATTAACAAATTAAACCCTCATCTACACTATAAGATACTTGCAGAGTCGCAGAGTATATAGTGAAATATAGACTATACAACTTTGTTATCAGCTGAATCCACGTACAATAACATTAGTAACACTAATCACGAATTTACCTGGATTAATCGTTCCTCGAGAGACGTGATTCGATCCAAAATCGAACCTTTGGATTGGGCCTCCATGACAGCCAAGTCAATTGGCACGCAATTTCTGTTCACAACCCCATGTCCTGCACCATCATTGGTCCATCTTGTTGACGAACATTTCCTATCTTCCAAATATTTTATCTTCATACAAATGTATATATTTAGTACAATCTTTCATCATATAATAATTGTGCAAACTATACGTTACATAGTAAAACATACTTTATACAAGGGACTTTATAGTATAAGAGAAACTTGCTTACCGTAGAATCCAAGTGATCAAGCCTAGAATTCAGAGAATACATGGAGTTTGAAGAGAGAGATTTTCTCAGATTTCCATCCATTTTTTTTTAGACGATATGTTTATGATATTCTTAAAGATAAATATATATACAAAAATCTAATTTTGATAAAACAAAAAAATATATATATATTTATAAGATGTGGGAAGTTAGGAAAAATGCACATTTATATGCAAGAAATAAGTGTTGACTGAAAAAAGAAGGCATGTGTTATGGGAGTGTCTGTTAGTGTTACACGATATTGTGGCCATTAAATGTGGCTGCTAATGAGGCATGGATGATGGATGTGTTTAGTGAAGTTGATCGGATAAAATATGGCACCATTCACATGGTATTTACTATTTAGTTATTTATGTATATGCCTTTTTTTGTATTATAGATATCTACTCTGCTTCTTACCCTCTTTAATTCCATTTATGCGATGTATCGGGTTGTTTTTGCATTAACTCGTAGTTCGATACTTAATACTGTATTTTGAATTAATAATTTATAAATCATACGGAATACTAGTAATTGTTTAGTAATCTTATACTTCGTTGGAGAACCCCTCCCATATCCACTTTGCTTTCAAAAAAATTTCCCAAAATTCATCCGAAGTCATGTATAAGTGTATAACCTTCAATTTTACAGAATTATTGACTTTTCCAGGCTTGGAAAGGATAGAGAATGATTTGCTTCCATGGACACCCCCCCCCCCCATGAGGCCCGAGGAGGCCACTTCAATGGTTGAAACCATCTACTTTGCTTATTAATTATCAATTTGGCCAATTATGGACACCTCCTGTTAGTGACTCAAAGCTACCTCAAGCCTTGCGCGACTGATAAATCGAATGTATGCTTGTATGTGATATGCTGCATATCAAGGAGCAGCACTTCAGGGGAAATAAGGTATACACAAAAAATTCATTTATCAGACTTTACAATTGTTCAAAATTTGGCCAGCTATACGAACATATCTTTCAACCTCATCGCCTCTCAATGCTCATACTAGTTCTACTCTACCACACTTCCAAACATGATGTAAAACCAGCACTTTTCTCCCACACTTTATTCAAGGGGTAAAAAATGATTTGAGCAAACGTTTGAAATTAAAGAATTATCAACATTAACAAGTCAAATCAGTAATAGTTTAAAAACAAGGGAACATTAAAGTCACCCTAAGCTAGACCTAGTCATCTCATAAGCCAAGAAACAAGCTGCATTTGCTGGTACACTCCGACCCATTGCAGGACCAAACCCCTTGTACAATCCTTTGACACCCTCAGTGGCTAATATCTTTTTGAACGCGTCAATGGAGCCAGAATATTTGGGTGCCTTAAAATCATCGATTTGGATAACACTCTTCACCACATCAGTCGGGTACACTGCACCCCAGAAGCAAGCTCCACCTATACCTCCTGCCAATATCAAAGAGCCCCTACCTAACGAGGAAGTATCATGGCCACCAGCTAAGTACATTTTGACTGCTTCATACACCCCAAACATTGCAGCATTGCCTGGAACTTCACGGGCTAGAGTAGGGATCAAGCCTTTAAATAGACCCCTTGCACCTGCTTCAGATAAGACATGCTTTGCTACATCTATAGGCCCTCCGTACTTAACTGCCACTGTAGCTGCGCCAGCTCCAGCCAGGGAACTCTGGGCCTGCAACCTGTCCTTGCCAGAGGGGATGTTTCAGAAAAAAGCCTATTAACTTTGATCTAAAACATTCATAATAAATCCATTTTCGCAACAACAATTTACACATGTCACTGTTGTAATTTGCAGGTGTGCTTAGAATCTTAGATAATAATTTGTGTATCTGTAAGATCTCTAAATTCTCAGACATGACATCAATCAACATTTTTTTTGGTAGCCTGTAAGAATTTTATGAATTTCCCACTATTGGAAGTTCCACAATTTGGGCAAAACAGTTAGCCAAACCATTAAAGAAATCAGAAGCAATTACCAACCAAACAACAAGACGCAAGAAATGCACGGGGTCATTGTTACAATACCAACAATACAATAGAACACATCCTATTCAAGACACCTGCTAATGCTTGAATCAAGCATATTAAGAAAAACTCATTTCTGGAAAAAAGAAACAGAAGAAGAAAAATAATAGTATTCCAGCCAGCACAGCCTATTCACATATACCAGTAAATCAACATGTTGCCTCCTGATAGTGAAATACACAGGTAAGCAAGCAATCACATATTCACATCTAAATTATGATCAAACTTAAGGAAAAAACGCAAATTAGGGGAGCAGATTGCATTTTCATTGTACCTGCACTTGATCAATTCTGTGGGGCATGCCAAAAAAGAGACAGCAACTCCAGCTCCAGCACCACAAGTAACTTGCTGGCCAACTGAGAGGGGTGCCCCAGGTTCAGACCTTAACAGGCCTTCCATTTGGCCCCTAACTGTGAAGAGTACAGCGTTGAAAGCAGCAACAGTAGCAAGTGGGGCCCCCATACCTTTGTACAAACCCCTAGGACCTTCTGCAGCTATTGTTTGCCTCACAGCATCCATAGCACCTGAGTACCTGGGAGCTTGGCCAGGAAGAGGAGTTGGCTGGCTTTGGAGCTTCACCTTGATGGTGTCAAAAGGATGCCCAACTACCAGCTGAGCAGCCCCTCCGACAGTCCCAGCAGTCAGGTCCTTTGCTACGTCTCCCATTTCTGAAGGAAGATACAAAATCAATATGTTTCCAAGACCCGTAGTGATTAAAGAGCATCTCAGAGAAATTAAAAGGTGTGATATACATTGACATATTCTTCTAGTAAATGATAAAGCTGTAAACTGGACAGCAAGTTTGTGTGTTGTAACTTACAACCCTGAAATCCAGTTCCAGTTCTACTATATCAAGCAAATGAAGAAACCTAAACATCTTTTTTCACACAGGATGACAAAAATCTCAATGATGATATTCGAAGATTGCCATTATAATACAACCACAATTCATTTTTAAGGAACTTTAAAAACCATTCGGTTTACCAATCAACAGTAAAATTCTCACACAATTTTCAAACTTGCACGTTTGGAGCTGAAAACTTCAAATTCTTTAGCCAATACTTCAATCACTATTTTCATCCTTCAAATTCATCAGCTGAATCACACGTAAACAATTCAAATGCCTAGAACCAATCCTCCCAAGTAATTGAAACTGTATAAGCCCCTCATATATAATGCTTTCAACTGAAGGATAATCAGCTCCCCACTTTATCCTACCCTGTAGCCACCATCTCTTGACCTATTTCAGGATAACTGAATATATCATACATTCAACAAGGTCATCTTTTAGTAGTTGGTTTACAAAAGTCATAAAACTTCGCAATGCCCAAAAATACAATCTCCTCTTAAACTGCAAAGTATTTGATGAAACAAAGTTCAGTTAGCATTTGTCTATGAGACTGAATTCAACGACTATGAGGCAAAAAAAAGGAAGCCATAGACCAAAAAATCAAACCAACAGGTTCTCCTTCGACCATCATGGACAAAATACTATATTTAAAACTATAACATCTTAAACCCCTATCATAACAAAATTTACCAGAAAGTACAATCCTTGAATTTAATAGTCACTTTTAATTGTGTGATATGAAGTGCTTAAGTGGCAGCTAAATCGGAGAGGAAGTAAAAGCATTTGGCATCGTGATACTGATTCAGATACATCTCCAGACTGGTGTTATTCCCCAATTATGAAGTTCGTAAGGAAGCAGAAACTCTGCTCACCATTGCAATTATCTAAACAGATAACAACCTTGAGAAATAAGTAATCATATAACAAAGCACTCAGAAAAAATAACAAGTATATCTTAAGATTTCAGCAATCTAACTAATAACAATAGCTGGATCAGCTAAAAATTGTCAATGATTTTACGCAAATTCAAAAAATTATAAAGCAAACATGAACATCTCAGAATGTTAGTTAAATCAATGAAAAAGAACACAACTTTTTTTTTTAAAAAAAAAAAAAGTTAAAGACCCCATTCACATGAAAAACATCAATGCGAAATTGAGAACTGAATAAAATATTGGAATTAAATTCGATATCAATACTTACCAACAAAATATTCTTATGCAACCCAAATCACAGCCAACAAAAGCTCAAATCAAGCTTCCAATTCAAATCACTCAATCAGAATATACGATCTGAAAAAATTAAACCATTCACTATTACATTTAAACAAAAAAATCACCACTATCACCTAGTCAAATAATCACACTCAAGTGAATTCAACACACATTAAAAAAAAAGAGAGATACCATTTGAGTATTACTGCATGAACCCAGTAAAATGCAAGAATATAAACAGATTAAAAAGAAACCCAGAAAGAGGGAAACTCAATTAGGGAAGCTGACCCATAAAAATTGGGATTATTTATTTTAATATTCTGGGAATCTGGGATTCTATTAAATTTATAGAATTAATCATTGAAAAGGGGTTGCCCAGAATCAGAATTAGAGAGCCACAAAAATGAGAGTAATGATAAAAGATAATCAAAAGGGACGTGGGTAAGAATGTAACCTTAGGTTAGAGATGATGAAAATCAGCCCCAGAAAATAAAGTTCGCTACTTTTTTATTTTCCTTTTTTCTGCAGCAACCACCACCACCAGTTGCAGACAGAAGGATTTGTTGCCGTCGATTTGATGGGGATGAAGGAGGAGAGAGAAAGAGGGGATGTGGTTTTTATACTCCATGATTTTATGAGCAACATCCAAGGGCAGGCCAATCACTGAAAATTGACTCAAAAGATACTCTTGGGATTCTGTCCTTTTCTGTATTTTTGTTTGTCACTTCTATTCAATTTAGGTAGTGCACACATGAATGGAACAGTACATTGTCCACCACCAAAAGTTGGTGACCAACCCATGAGCCTGCAATTCTGCAAATTGTGTTGTTAACTTGTTATTCCGTATTATACATCTTGCTGTACCTAATTGACAGAAACGAAATAATGTTATGCATTACATGCTGTCTTGCATATACCCGTATTGTCTAAATAAAATTGTTGTTTGCAATAAAGAAGGAGATGTTGAAATTTTGGGATTATAAGTTTTGCTTTAAATTTTCCTTAATTGTAAAATGTAATTGTCCTATGCTTCTTTGTATAGACCCAAATGAAAACAATTTGCATTGAATGAAATGATATTGACTAGGGAGTACCTCTTTTGATTATGTCACTAATTGAAGGCCACCAAATGGAATCATGTTGCTCTCCCCTTTGAATCAAATATAGGCTTTGTTCATTTAACTTATTTAAGTAAATATTTTAAATATTTTAGAAGTGATAGAAATTACACCATACACTAATTTTGAAATTCAAATTAGATTAGACCAAATCAAATAAGGTGAAACTTTAGTAAATATGAAATTCAAATTAGACTAGACCAAATCAAAAAAATTCTGATCAAATCAAGTGAACTAAAAATACTAAGAAAATGCAAGTTCAAGCCAAACAAAAATTTATGAGTAGTTTATATTTTTTAAAAAAATACTATAGTTTTTAAAGTTGTGTCACCGTTTACTCTCTTTTTATTATCGAAAACTACATGTTATTCACTTCTCACAAAACACGAAACTTAAAGTCCTTTTAATAATTAAAAAAAATTGAAAAATGCTTGATTACTTCTTTAGCAACAAATTAGTTATCTTCAGCTATTACTGATGATTCTTGATCTTTAACCTGATTCTATGTTCCTTTCGGCGCTGCTACCTACTCAGTAATTTCCAATCTGCAGAAAATCTAATTAGACGATTCACACTTCAGTATCATATCAAAGGCAAAGGAAGGGAGATAAGAGAAAACAATATTTTGTGCTGCCGCTGAAAAGATCTCTATCACTGCTCAAAAGAAACAATTCTCATATGTATGAAACCTTTATATCTATCATCACACCCTTGGCTACTACTATTTATTCTCATATAAGCACCTAACTATTATTATTATTATTATGACTTTATCTTTTGTTCTATATGTAATATTTACATCATCTATACCTAAAGCCTGAGGATAAAAGCCGGCCCTCAGCAGCAGCAGCAACCGCACCAAGTAATCAACACCTTGGGTTACCTAGAAGAGGTCAGCTAGTAGAGCATGGCATCCCAAGAGAGAGAACCAATGAAACATCCCCATCTTGGTCAGTTCCATCATTCAAGGAATTTTCAGGTTCATATTCACTTTTGCTGGGAAAGCCAAGAGCCAAATCCAAGTCCAGTTCTTCTGAACCTGACCTATCGTCTAAGCAGTGGTTGAGATTAAGAGTATTATATCTCCTGGGATTCTCTGATGGCTCTATCTGCAGCTCAACAGCTGATTTAGCACATTCTCCACCATCGGATGATCCTGATGGTCCCGAGTCTAAAGAAAAGGAATGCCCACTGAAAACGTCATGCCCCTGCCTCAATTTAGAGGCTGTAAAACTCATATCCTTGTAGTTTGCATCAGAGCGAAATCCAATCGCTGTAGTGTGTTCCCTTGCTAATTGGCCACATGGAATGAGATCAGTCTTCATAGGGCTCTTTATATCGTTATCAGAGAAGGTATTATCTTTCTGCAAAAAGATTAAGATGTAATGAATAAATGCGAGACAACATCATGTCACATATACAATGTAAAAAAAAACTTGGTTAGCTGCCTAAGCATAAACCATTGTCAAACTCATACTGACTAGTATCTCAACTCTACCAACACCAACCCCTCCCTCCTCCTCCCAAAGGATAGGAAAAAAAAATATAGAAGTATAAGAGAAAAATTATATCATGCAATGAAGGTGATACAGTATCAAGTCAACTTAAGGGGACTCTCACTGGCTGCAGTTGACTTGCACTCAATAACTCATCTCCCCTGAAGACCAGCAATTTAAGGGGACCAAAATAAATAAATAAAAGGTATTGGTATCGTAAGTTCTGATAATACTCAATCAAAATCTATTCCACACATATTCGGCTACATACTGCTGCAATATTCAAAGATATTATTAGAGAACTCAGGCGAATGATACCTGCAAGTCATAACTATGTAGACCCCTACCAGAAACCTCTTTACTCCAATCACGGACAGATGTAATACCATCGGCTTGGGAATCATGATATTTTAGAGTTGCTATATGTTTCTTTAATGGAGGCAATTCATGTTCAATACTTTGTTCTCCAGACATGACTACAGCTGAAGATGGCAAAGCCAGTGGTTTAGCAGATTCTGGCCCATGCATGGAGCTGTATGACGAACGAAGTGCAAAGGAGCCTCCAGAGAGTAATGCAGAAACAAATTTGCTCTGTGACCCACAAGTAGCAGGTGAAGATACACCTTGATTCACAGTCACAGCGTTCAAGTCAGGGACATGAGAATCATCAAAGTTTTTCATTCTAAATACACCCCACAAAAATGGCAGAGAATTCCAGCCTGTCAAAAAAAAAAAAAAAAAAAAAACACAATTAGAGACAAATAGGACTCATAGATCTTTGAGACCACCAAGAAATAAAGTAATAAACACTCACTTGGTAACAAAGGAAGTTTATTTTTAATAAGAAAAATTAATCACTATAGCAAAGAGATACTTACGCTGTGATCTTGCAGGAAGCAAGCTCGATGGAAAAACTAGAAGTTGAAAACCTCCAAAGTTCGCTTCAAGAGCTATATCATTGATTGACATGCCTTCTAGCAACATCCTGTAACTTCTTTCATAACTGCATGAAATACCAGGAAATTAAAATGCAAGAAATCGAAATCTTTCACTGGAAAGGCAGATGGGGATTCCAGCATTACTAACCTACACAAATCTTGAGCAAAGAAGTAGAGAGCGATATCTTGCTCGTTCGGATTTTTCTTCTGAAACTGAATGGGCCAAGTGTGCAATCGCGGCACTTCCTTTAACAGAAGTTCGTCAGAAAACTTAAGAACCAAATCAGCAATTTTGGATGATGCACGAGTCGATAGATGTGCTTGTACCCCATAGCAGTCAGTAGGAAGTTTCCCACTTTTCTCCAAACTAAAAGTACCCCTAAATAAATATGGTAACATATTAATTTAAGATGCTCCAAGAGGTCCACAGATAAAACATGAAAGATAAAAGAGAGAGAGGAGGGGCTAATCAAACAAAACAAAAGGAGCATACCTCCAAATACACCTAGATTCTGGAACTGCAGAAGTCAAGTTGGGAGCCATATGGTCAAGATTTACTGGATCAATTGTAGGCTTGACTTTCATATGCTGGACCTTAAAAGACGAAACATCATTGTCTTTTCTTTTGATGTCGGCTAGATCAGCCTTCAGAGTGGATAAGCTCATTCTCAGATCAGGGTAAGCATTGACATTTTTGGCTGGAGAATTGATCACACAGCTTGCATGACAGGGTGAATTTCTTTCTTCGACAGATCCAGCTACGAGACAAAACAAAACCAAATATTAAAAAAGCAATACCGGAAAGCGGAAGTCCCTTAACATTGTGGACCAAACCACAGTTCAAAAAAAGTCTCAAATCAGAACATGTAAGAAGAATCCTACCTGATTTGTTCACACGGTTTTTGCCTTCAAGAGCAAGGGAATCAAGTGCTTCAACATTTGTATTTCCATTAACCTGGATGTCAGATTTGTCCTCAACACTCTTTATGGGTGAAGATGCCGCTTTACCAATCTGGGGAGCCACTTTGGTACTAGAAGAGCTAACTTTCGAAGGACTAGAACTAGCAAAAGGAAAATCTACTTGATTGGTCTTGTTCTCCAATGAATAATTTTTTTCAGCAACGTTCCTTTTACTTCCATGTCGTACACCCTTAACATTTGAAACGGAAGACTGCGTATTTGAAACATCTGGAGGGATTGAGCTGGCACCAGTCAATGGCAAAGATTTGAACACCTTCTTGTCAGAATGATCCTTCTTCAGTTCACAGTCAGCTTTATCTTTGGTAGATTTTCTCCTTTGACGGATATCTTCCATCAAGCGTCTAACTTCCAAATTTGAGACAGAACTGTCAACTATTTTTTCATTGATAAAAGATCCTGCAAATGAAAAGAAAATGCCATTGAGTTACTGACATAAATGAACTGAACACTGACATGTCCACTCCACCACGTTGTCAATTGACATGGGAATTAAGGAACAACTTGCCTCCACAAGATTGTTGTTCAGGTTTGGATGATCTATGTTCTGATGAACATGCTTGCTTCACCATTTTCTTAGCAGGAACAACAAAAGAAGATACCTGACGAGCAGCATTTTTCTTCACATTCATGTTCTTCAATGAAGATCTATGAGTCAACTGCGAATTCCCTCCAGAGTCAGAAATCTTCAGCGATTGAACACTTCGGTCAACAATTCCTTTCTTTGCTTTTGGTCTCACATCTATATCAAGCCCAAGTCTCTTATCAGATGAGCAGGAAGCTTTACTCGAATGATTTGTCTTCATTTTACCATCATGATGAATAACAGAATTTATTGTTGGTGAACCTTGACTCGGTTCCTTTAAACATGATGGGTTTGAAGCATTGTCTGGTCCCTCCATCATAACTTGCCTCTGTCTTTTTGGATCTTGCATCAACAAGCACTCTTCGCAAAACCAATCACCTTCGGGCACTTTACCCATCTTAGGGCTCATGCAGTAACTAATGGTATAAACAAAATGCAAAAAGGGGCATCAGCATTAATCTTTGCAGGAATTTCAATTATGTTAATAGACAAAATATGTATCTACATGATCACTTACATATGCTCTGCTCCATCACTGCACCTGCTACAAAGAGCAAGTGATGCCTCTCGACCAGCATCACCGCAAATATCACATATTCTTACCTATACCAAATGGAACAAGCTATGTCAATCCACACACAAGTATGACACAAGCAACAGTTCAGATAACAAAAAATCGCGACTTCAGGAAGAACTTATAAGAAACACAAGATATCATCTAAGCACTTGGCAACCTCAGTCAGGGTAGCTGGTACCAAATGCACAAACAAATGCATGCAAGGTCACACACAAAATAAGTAGAAGAGGGACAGGAGTCTAGGTTAAAGACAGCATAGACCCAATATTTTGCAGCAACATGTACACGTCCATAGCTAATGCCCTGGAGCATGACTTGCAAGGAAGGGGTTTTATATATATATATATATAATTAGCATAGGCCACCTAAAAGCTCTGAATTGAGTTCCAGCAATACGTACACAATCCACAGTAAATGTACCAGATAACAACTTGAAAATATTCACTATTAGTTTCAATGAAGACAATTTAAAAGCTATGAATTGAGTTAGAACCTTATATACATAGATTATACCTAATTTAAGTTTATGTAGGTAATCAATTACCATGATGAGGCAATGCTTGTGATAACTTTTACACATATCCGGAATGGCAAACTACGAAACCCAACTTTTTCTATCTGTTGAATAATTTGGCAAAGAAGCATATGCAGTAAACAGTCCCAAAAATGCAGATGCAGTTCTGAAATCCAATTTGACCCAGAACATGCCAGCTTCTTACATCTTAGTACTAAAATGACAAACAAGAGAATCATGAGAGATTAATTAATCTTTCAACATGTTGAGACACAATGACCTTAAAAGAATAGAAACCCACCAAACAATTTATGTGACAGTTTTTTCTTACAAGTACTATGTTTCAGAATAGTGAGACAGCTAAATTTCTACACAGAACATGGCTTCATAACACACACACAACAACAACAACAACAACAACAACAAACGGATAGAGTAAAAAGTACAAAAAAAAAAAAAAAAAAACATACATCCACCAATTCATCAGGTTCATCTGGTCTGTCCTCATGCATTAAATTCTGGTTTTGAAGACAGGGATCCTGTGTGCTGGGACTGCTGGCAATTGGGGAACCTTTACTAATAGACGGACCATTCAAAGATTTCTCCAAAACATCAGGACAGGGGCTACTAACTGAAACTGCTCTGGATGTAGCTATTTTGTGATCTTCACCGCCATATTGATCACTACTAATCATAGCTGCACCATCGTCTTTACTTATACAAGAGCTGTAGTCCCCTTGGCAGTCAAAAACATCTTGATCCTGATGTTTTACTGTAGTCTGAGAAGTAATTGCAAGTTGAAGCATTGGCAAATCTTTAGAGTAACCAGGAGATTTCAAAGAGTCCAAACTCTGAAGGTCTTCAGAAAATGAGCTCTGGCAAGAAGTAGAAGGTATGTTACTCACTTCACTACTGGATAGCTTCCCGTGACTTTCGACTTTTCTATCCCAAGATAGATCAACAACTAAAGCTTGATCTATAGTTGACTCCAGGGAGGCTTTCAACAAGCCAACAGCCTGTTTGCACATTTCAGATTTAACTTCAGAAAACGTTCATTAGGAAGGCATGAAAAGGCATAAAGATTGCTCATTGATATTTGGCTTTTACAAGACTTCCACTAGAAAAATATATTCTTGATATTATTCAGATATTCAGATTCTACTAGATAATTATTATAGATAAATAAAGTTACAGTACAATTAGGCAGAAAGCAGTTAAAGCAATGCTAGACAATTTACAAATTAATACAAACTGTTAGACTTATAGTAAGACTAGAATACTCATGTAGAATGATAAACTCATTGGAGCAGGGTCGACAAACTACTAATAAGTAGTCCATATATCATATCAGAAAATCAGAAATACAAAAATATAAGCCACTTAACGATTAAGCAAGCCATCCCTAGGCCTCTAAAACCTTATAAGCATACTTCAGACAACCACCAGGTATGCACTTGGGGGTAAAAAAAAATAAAAATTCAGTTTCTCGGGCAGGAGCTTATGTCATGAAAGCTACAAAAAGAATTGCCAAATGCTATCGCCCTAATATAAATTCACATAAAGGCTAATAAATTCAAATACGGTTTTTTCAGGAGGAAAAGAATCAAACACGAAACATCAATGAGTCGAATACGCCAGACTAACAAGGGTTCCTTTTCATATACCTGAAACATCACTCAGTTAAGCACTAGGCACCTAATTCCTGAAGCAAATCATCAAAAACACAATAGCTAAAACCCACAAAATTCTAGTATAATGGAAAAACACAAAAGATTCAACCTTTACAAGGTCATTCGACCGCGGAATGCATACCACCAATCCACCATATACAAAACACAAGTCGACAGCAATCATTTTTATTTACAGCATGATTAATCATGATCCAATTCATTCAGCTTCATCCTCCGACCCTAAACTAACAATTAAACATTGATTAATCTCCCAAATCCCCATATAAATCATAATTCTGCCTTTATTATACTAATAATACGTGCACCATCCACCATTATTTCATTGATCAAGCATAATCATACATAAAACAAATACACGATTAACCATCATCATAAACTACAAATTTCTGAATAAAAACCTAATAAACAAACCGCCCCCATAAAAAAAATTCCCATTTTTATATCATTTCAATCAATTTTCATGAAACTGGGATTCAAACAGCTAACAATTTCACATTGATTAAACCCTTTAACTCTCAAAATCCCAAATCAAAACCCAACACAATTTCACAAAAAAATGAACCCCAGATATGAAATCTTAACCCAAAAGTCACGAAATTTCCAGAAACATGCAAAAACCCCAGAAAAATCCACCCCTGAAAATTGAATAAAAATCATCATAAAACAAATAAGACATTGGAATTAGAAAACATGCCTTGGATTTCAAAAGGGTATCGTCACGATCATACAGCTCTCGGAGTGGTTTAAACTTTTGATGTTTCTTCTTCATCACACTGAAATAACAGAGAAAATATTAAGGGAGAAGACTGACCTTTTTATATATTATGATTGTTATATTTGTTTTTTTCTTGTATTTTCCTCCAATCCAAATAAACTAAAGACTCAATTTTCCTATGCTAATTTTTCTCTCTCTATCATCAGCAACGTGTAGTTTGCTTCATCTTCATGCATCATCTACAACTACACGCTCTCTCTTTTTTTATAAAGTTTTATTTACTTAATTATATAAATAATTGACACATATAACACATTTGGAAAATTTTGAATTCCAAGAATTGGTACATTTTTTTTATTATATAAAAGGAGTGGGGGAGAATAAGAGGGTTTTTGGAGTAGCTTTTTATCCCCTAAGTATTGGTTGTTTTACCTTTAATTGTTGATTTTCTACTTAATTACAAAAGATTGGATAGATGCAATTAAATCCAATATGGGATGAGATTTTGCTGAGGTTGTCACATCAAAGTGGATTGGATATTGATAATTGCACTAGGTTTTCCGCCTATAATTTATTATCGCAGTACTTTCTAGAATGTAATAGGTGGTAATATAGTTGTGAATTGGGCTTATAATTTAGGCTTTGCAACATTACGAAGACATCGGTGAAAAAATCGTGGGAGGTGATACGGAAACCTTAGCCATTTGAGAAAGCAACTGCACAGAATTCCAAATTACGATTAGCATTTCATTTCCCCTCTCTTAGGCCTATCTTAAGTTTTAGGTGATTTCTTATAAAGACTATTACTTTACTTATTAGATTAAGTAATAACGTACACTTTGTTTTAAAATGTAAAGCTTCACATTTTTCCACTTTTTGGTACTAGTGTACAACCATAACACTCCTAATGTAGAATAACCAGATTTGTGTATGCCTAGATGTGTGCAAGCAACAATGCAAGTTTATCCCTAAATAACCAAATTATCACAAATTTGTTGTAGAAAGCCCCATAAAAATTGATCACCTAATTGAATAATGAATGGGTGATGTTCCCTCTGCCAAAAACAAATAACCACATATACTGATATACATAATGTAACCTTATTGAAATAGTAGCATTATCTGTCAGAAGAAGAAGAAAAAAAAAAGAAAAAAAAAAAAAGAGATAAGATAAGAAATAGTAGCATTATAACTAAACTTCTAATTTGTTAAACCCTATATTAACCATGAACTACTTGTCCTACTCGACATTATAAGTCTTACTCCGTATAAAGTATACGAGCATATAATAGTGCATAACAAATGCATATGAAATTACGAATACATGAAGTATATATACCAAATCATATTGATAAATGAACGTCAACTAGTTCTCTTACTTATAGAAGTAGTAATCTCAAACACTTGTCTTAATCATACTCTTTCAAATAATTGCAAATTGTTTAATATGATAGGGTTTTACCATTATTTTTTATTTCATTCTTCCTCATGATTTATTACGATTTTTTTTTAAAAAAAAAAACTCAATGTAGTTTTATTCTCTTAAAAAAAATGAACTATCTACCATATGTTATACGTAGTATTATAAGTTTATATTAGACATACTCTTTTATGATTCATAGTTTACTATCCGATATTGCAATTATTTAGAAATGATGATATTGCAATTATTCAAATCACACCTTAAATTACATTAACTAGATCATTAATAGAAATGAAGTTATTTTTTGGTGTTATTTTGTATTTGAAAAGAAATATTTTTAAGTTAGTTTATAAAAATTTGAAAATAAGAGAACGCATAGAGTTGCTCTATTTATGGGATGGAGTGCTGTGGTGGAGTGCTCCATTTAAGAAGCTGAATTCGTTATAACCCTACTACATATAAACTAGACCCTATTCCAAGTGAGTTGAATACAACCCGCCTAACTAACAAATTACAACCGTAAGTTTATTTAAAATAATCGAATAAAGGATGCGTTTTATTCAACTGATTTTTACTTATCTTAGTTATAATTTGAACTTGAGTAACCCTTATCATAACTTATTTTTCTTGAATCTGAACTTATTAGATTTGAAATAAATGAAAATAAGGTAAACAGAAGAGTTCCTAAGAGAGTGAGAGTGTGAGAGATAGCTCAAGTGGTTAAAACTTCTTTTTCGATTTTAGGAGATATTAAAATCGATTCTCATCATTCACCCTTATGATTCTCTAAACACCAAAAAAAACAAAACATGCCAATCAAAAACCTTTATTTCAACCTGAAAGTGTTCAACCCGACTCATAATCAAACCGTCGGAATCAACGTCCCCTAAGGCCCTAAGTACTAATCACTTTATAACACAACCATATTTGTATTTAAGAGTTTAAAGTTGACGGGTATTATACTCCAATTAGTAAGGTAATCATTATCTCCACTTGGCAAACATTAACAGGCTACCACAGATATCATCCTCTCAAAATTCCCATTTGTACACCATTAACATTTAAACCTCCATTACCATAAACTAACCACGGATTCACAAACTCCACTCTCTTTCTCTCTCCTCTCTCAGCCGCTACTTCCAAATCCTGAAAAATAGAATACCCATTTGCAAATTCACGCCATTTTTATTCAATTTATCAATAAATAAGCTAATAAGCTATGCCAATTACCCACAACTTCACCCTTTTCTGATAAGGTTTCCTCTGTTTGTCCCTTTTAATGGAGTCACTGCCATTGATATACCGAGCTCCACACCCTCCAACGACGTCGTTTAAGGCCTATAATCATGGATATGGGTCTCTCTCCTTTGACTTTTTCCTCCCTAAGTCAACCCTTTGCAGGAGGAGATTCAAGTATGGTCCTGGTGTTGTGAGGGGTTCAATTGACCCTAGTAGTAGGAGGAGAGATGGGGTTGATGGGATTGAAAGATCAGACGGTAGTGGAGTAGGGTACACTAGATCAACTATGGAAGTTACCACATTTAATCAGAGCTTTGGAGATGCTGCTAGTGCTACTTCTGCTGATTTTCCTGTTTGGGATAAGATTGGAGCTGTTGTGAGACTTAGCTATGGAATTGGTGTTTGGGTCCAATTTAGTCAAAATTGGGCCTGAGCACTAAATGATCCAATTAAAAGCCCAAGGTCAAGGTTCAACTCTCCAATTGCTCAAAAGTCAAAAGTCAGCCCACAAAGTAAGCCAATTGGGCTAAAGCCCAACCTCTCCAAGTATGATGAGGTATAAAAGCCCTCATATTAACACATTCATGGGGAGATCAGACACATTATCACATACATTATCTCATACACGGATTATTCCAATTCATATGCTCATTCTTGCATTGAGAAATACTCCACAAAAGCCTCAAGCTACAAACTCTCTTGCATAGTGTCTTCCTTTTTACACATTGTACTGACTTTAGCATCGGAGGGGCCTTCCTCGGAAACACCCCCGAGGCTAGTTTACGTGTGTTCACTGTGCAGGAAACCTTCGGCCCAACACAGCTTGGATCGAATCCAGTCTTCTCCATTTCAGTGGACCTTCGGCAAGGTCCCATTGTTTTCAACCGAAACAATTTGGCGCCGTCTGTGGGGAAGACTTTCAAAAATCTTTAAGCCAAATTCCTAACCAAGATCATCTTGCAATTATCTTAGCAGCCATGGCTAAGAACCGCAAGAGCAAAAGCCTCCGTCAAGGAGCGGGCGAAAAGCCTAAAACCCCTACACCATCGCCCACGCCGGACCGGAACTCTCCCAAGGGTGCCGGCTCGGGGGGAGGATCACACAAGGAGGATTCCCTATCTCCTATAATGCATGACTCTCAATATAGGCCGGACCACTCTCGGTCTAGCAGGGGTCAGTCTGATCATAGGACATATTCAGTGTCCCGAAGCCAACCATCGGCTGCACGGCCTCATGCCCACACTCGGCCGGGGACCCCTTTGACGGGGCCCAGTTCGGAAGAGGTGGCAAGAGCGCTGGCAGTACTCATGGAGGCAATGAGGGCACAGAATATGCCACCGCCTCGTGATCGAACTCCTCCGCATACCCGGCATCAGCGGAGGAAGTTAGACCATGACGGTGGGAAGCTTCCTTCCTTCCGGGAACTGGAAGAGTGGGAGGAGGATTCTTGGAAAAATGAAAAACAGAGGAAGAAGAACTCTCAATTATTTAAAGGATCCTCATCCTCAAGACCAGCAGCGCATAAGAGCAGCAGCTCAGCTTCTCGGCCAGAATCTACTCGCCGGGAACCCGAGACTGCTCGCAGAAGCGTCCTTGACCGACTCGGCGGCCAGGAACCGAGCGTGCGTAGTCGCCTCTCGTTCCCTGCAGCCGAGGCCCAGACTTCCCAGCCAGGGACGAAAACCACTCCTACCTCTCTAAGAGGGCGGAGCGCGGTCCCTTCGGCCAGGAACAAGGGCAAGGCCATTATGCTTCCCGCTAGTTCACCATTCGAGCAATGGATACTGGAAGAGCGCGTACCCACGGTTAAAATACCGTCGCATATCACATATGACGGGACCACGGATCCGAAGGACCACGTGGCCTCGTATGAGACTCATATGCATCTTTGCCCCAGATCCGAGGCGACTTGGTGCAAATATTTCCCAACCACTCTCAAGGGGGTCGCGCAAGCGTGGATCTCCAAGGGAGTAAGGCAAGGCTCCATAACAGGTTGGGATGATCTGTCCTCCAAGTTCAGGAGCAAGTTTTCCACGGCAAACCGCCGAGAGAAGACTACCGCAGAGCTCATGGGTCTGCAACAGGGGGAAACCGAAAGCCTCCGAGACTACCTGACCCGTTTCAGTAACGAGTCATCAAGCGTCTCTCAGCTGGACCAGGGGCTAGCTGTTTTTGCAATGCAGAATGGCCTTCAGCCAGGAAAATTCCTAGACTTCATGGTCATGCATACCCCGCAGACCTTGGAGGAAGCTCTTAGTGCTTCGGATAAGTTCATCCGAGCCGAAGAATGGAATAAGGCAAAAACCCAACCTCAATCCGGGGGAGGGAAACAGAGGCAAATACCCTTGTCTGAAGGCCAAGGCCATAAGGCAAAGGGAAAATCAAAGGCCTCGGAGCCATCTTCGGCCAGCGACCTAAAGAAGGACAGGTTTGCCTCATACACAGGCAGATATGAGTCCTACACTCCGCTCTCTCTTCCACGCGCCAAAATTTACAGTGTGACGAAGGAGGAGCAGAGTTACCGAAAGCCGAGACCACTCCCAGAGTGGTATCAGCGAAAAAATAAAAATCAGTGGTGTGAGTTCCACGAGTCTTCGGGCCACAACACTGAAGAGTGTAT